GGTTGAGTCGTAATTTAATTAAGTAATTAATTAGGTGTAATTAATATTTTTTACCGATATTATAAAAATAGATAAGACATTTTTATTAGTAGGTAATTTAAATAAATAATTATTATTTATTATTGTTTATATTTCTTTATTATTTTTTTTTATTATTATTATAATTTTTTTTTATTGGTTATTATTTTTTTTGTCATTATTATTATTATTATTATTATTATTATTATTATTATTATTATTATTTTCATTATTTATTGTTGACATTATTTTCAATTATTACAATTTTTATAAAAGTCGAAAAAGAGCCTTTTTAAATAATCGAAAGCTATTAATAAAAAAAAGTAAATAAATTCATGTATAATTTGTAACTACGGCTACATAAATGGTAAAGGGGAGAACAAAAAATCTGATTGGGTGTTGTAAACAAGTTTCGCGAGGTAGAAAATTTGACAATTTGATTTTTCATGCAATCACTCGCCTTCAATGATTAACCAATACACATTAATTGGAAATTAGTTTTTATATTTTACGTATAAATATATATGTATATATTCGATGATGTATCACGTATATGTAAATTTTTTCTCCCAAAACTGGAGGTAACAGAAATAATGATGAATTGAAATGTCATTTATAATATGAATAAGATGATCAAAAATTAATTGAACACGTCGATATAAATTATGAGACAGGGAAAAAAATTACTCTCGAGTTATTTTTTGATGGCTCCATTTGTAATTGACGTGATTCGAAAAGTTTTTTTTAAATTTTCTTATTACATACAATCTATATGAAATTATAAATTACATGCGTATATATTTATAATTTATATTTTATTTGTTTCAATGAATTTTTGATGGGGATTAAAAATTGATATTTTTAAATTTAACATTTTTGGTTGATTAATAAATTTTTTTTTTTTGGAAATGATTAATTATTAAAAGAAGTAATAAAATTGGGTAATTAATGTAAATGTGTAATTGATAGATAAATATGTAATTGATATGAATATAATTAGTATGAATCAATAATTAATGTAAATATAATTAAAAGATATAAATAATAAACTTTTATTTTTATTTATTTAACAAATACATGGGAAAATTTATATAATGAATATAAATATAAACTATTTATTTATTAAAAATTCAACTTCTTTTCCAGAAGTGGAATATAAATTCATAATAAATGTATAAAAGTAATTAATTAATTTATTGTAATTGTAATTATTATGAATAAATTAACATAGATATCCTTAATATAAATAAATAGTTAAAAAATAAATAATTAATAAATGAAGTTGATTGAAGAGTAATTATTTATTTATATTTACTTATTTATAATAATTATAATTATTATAAATAATAATAAAATAAATAATTATAGATCTATAGTTATAAATATAAATAAATATAAATATTTATTATTATTACAATTTATCTATAAATAAATAGATAAAAATACAAAAAAGTAAAAGTTGATTGAAGAGTAATTATGTACTTATTAATAATTATAAGTATAAGTAGAGGCAATAAAGTGAAAATTTGCTCAGGTTGTTAAGAGGTGTCAAGAAAATTGTTAAGATTGACAGGAAATTGTTAATTTATTCATAATAATTGTCCTTTCAGAGTGACATAAATCTCTCACTTGACTAATGCTCTGTAAATTGAATAGTGTGCAAACAATAGTAGCTCCTGTTACACTATTTAGATTACTATCTATTACGCGATTTAATCGGTTTCATTCAGATAAAGGATATTGATGCTGTTATAAATTATCATTAAATGAATAAATCTGAGGGCAAAACACAATCTTGAATACAAATCGAGGCTTTTCTTTGATATTTGATACAAATTTCAACCTCCACTCTCTCTGTAGTAAAAAAAAAAAAATTTTGTCCCTTTATGAAAATTCAGTTTGAAAAAATTTTGTTCATTTTAAATTATTTTAATTAATTTAATAGATAATTGCAAATAATATTTAATTATTTGTTAAGATGATTTATTTATTCGATTTTTTCACATTTGTAACATTTGTTACATTCTTTTAATAATTGAAGTAAATATTTGTTCAAGTATAAATTGGATTAAGAAAATATAAAAAAATAACATTTTCAGTATAGTGTCGGGATGAGAAAACGATTACTTTGAAATTTATTGTTTTTAATTAAATTCATTTACTCTATTGACTTTTCGTTTATAATCATTATTCGTTTATACACATTGTCAGATGTGTAAATCTTAATAAAAATAATATTTCTTTTTATTTAATAACTATATGCCCTATTAAGAAACATCGTTAACAAAAAATATGAAAGAAAAAATAAAGCTAACAATGTTTATATATGAGTTTTGTGTTTGTATTTTACTTTTTAATTAATTTTACAAGTGATAATGATACTTGCGATCGGCAGAAGACATTTTGTCGATCATAAGAATGTATATTGCTTTTAATTAAAATTTTAAAATACGTATATATTGTATGCAGTGAGGAATTCTTTTTAAAATGTCAGGATTAAATTAGTTTTTCGAAGGATAATAGGTCCATGAAGTTAAAATCGACGCTAGGCATAGAAAAATGTTTTTGTTTCAAAAATGAAAAAAGGAAATCATTTTTTTTCTTAATTTAAAGTTAGAAAAGTGTCTTAAAGTTATTTTTGAATATTAAAGTAAATGAGAGGAGTGAAATTAGTGACATTTTCATTTCTGAAGATCACTAGAAAATGGTCAGGGATTCATAGAAATTCAATTATTTTTAGGAATTTTAATAAAATTCTTTCCAAAATTCAATTATTTTAATAAATATCAAAATTCAAACAAGAATTCAATTTTTTTGGAAAGTAATAAAGTACTTTGCAGAAATAAAATTATTTTCAAAATTTTTTAAAAATTCTCATCAAGAATTGAATTTATCTTCTCAAGAATTAATTTACTGTCAAAAGTTTTAATTAAATTCTTGGTAAAATTTAATAAAATTCTTTGCATGAATTTAATTATTTTCATAAATTACTATTTAAATAGAAATTTAATTAATTTAATTTAATCAGAAATTCAATTACTTTTAAAAATTTTAATAAAATTCTTCAAAAATTTTCAATTTATTTTTAACTAAAGAATTTTCAAATAATTGAAATTTTGTAAAATTTAATAGTGAACAAATTGATTTGAAAATTATCAAACAACTTTTCAAAAATTATTTTTAATAATTTTTGATAAAGTTCTTTTAAGAATTTTCAAATTCATTTGTTTGCAATTCAATTTTACGAAATTTTGATTATTCAGAAATTCTTCAATTAAACATACATTAGAAAACAACGACTATAATAATTTTAAAAAATTTCTAATACTAAGATTTTTGAAAAAAATTAATTTCCATCGAATTTTTAATTGAAAGAATGAAAAATACAGATTTTCAAAGATTTTAATTTAAAACCTTTATTAAATTCAATTACTTCTAAAAATTGCAATTATTTTTAACTTCTTAGGAATTCAATTATTATCTAAAACTTTAACTGAAAATAATTTTTAGATAAATTTTTATTAGAAAACTTCAACGACAATTCAATTATTTAAATACAAACATTGATATTTTACTGAATAATTAAATGTTTCTTAAAATTGAATTAATATACATAATTCTTAAACATTTTATCAACAAATTTTTAAATAATTGACTTCTTTCGACGAATTTTAATAAAATTCTTAATAATTACATTTTACGAGAAGTTCGATTGAAATTATATTAAAAATAATTGAATAATTGTGAAGAATTATATAATAAGTGTCCAAAAATTGATTTTTTTGAAAAAAATTTATGCAAATTCTATTTTTACACACTATTAGGTATATTTGTGTAGAATTTTGTAAAAAAAATTTTTAATAATTGAGTTCTTTTGGGTAATTTTTTTAAAATAGTAGATACACTTATTGAACTCAGAAAGATTTTTTTAAAATAATTGAATTTTGTAATATATTTTATTAAAATTCTAGAAAATAATTGAATTTTGTCGAAGAATTTTGCTATTCATTTAGGTATGTAAAGATAATTGAAATGTTGTTAATTTTTTTTAGATTTTTTGAAAATAATTGAATTTTGTTGAAGAATTTTGCTATTTATCTATGAAGATAATTGAAAGGTTGACAACTTTTTTCGATTTTTTTGAAAATAATTGAATTTTGTCGAAGAATTTTTCTATTCATTCAAGTATATAAAGATAATTGAAATGTTATCAATTTTTTTTAGATTTTTTGAAAATAATTGAATTGTCTCCAAGAATTTTGCTATTTATTTATGAAAATAATTGAAATGTTGACAATATTTTCGATTTTTTTGAAAATAATTGAATTTTGTCGAAGAATTTTGCTATATTTATTTATAAAGATAATTGAAATGTTGACAATTTTTTTTTTCGATTTTTTGAAAATAATTTGAATTTTGCTATTTATTTATGAAAATAATTGAAATGTTGACAATTTTTTTAGATTTTTTGAAAATAATTAAATTTCTGTTAAGTAGTAAACAAATAAATAAATGTATTAGACAATTTTTTTAAGTATCTAATAATTATTAGAGTGAATCAGAATATTCTTTAGGGTCAGGGAAAAATTCAAAATTCTTTCTGGAAATCAGGGAAAAATTAGGGAAAAACAAAGTTAAATTTTTGTGGCAACCCTGATAATGATACACCCAGAGAAAAGATATATTTGTCTCAGAACCATATTAAATATTAAAAAGTCTATAGACTTTTTATTTGTTTCAAATAAATTTTATTTGGTTTTAAGTAAAATTTTGTTTGACTTAAATATTTGTCGAATTAATTATTTTTTATGTCGAATAAAATTTTTATTTAAATGAAATAAATAATCCAGTTGGTTCTGAGACAAGTATACGATTATTTAACTGAAATAAAATATATTTAGTTTAAATACTAAATATTTCTCTTGGTGTGTATAAATATAATAATGATTAAAAAATGAATAAATTTATTAAAATGAAATAACCTTGCGAATGGTTTTGGATCGATCTCGTAGTGCTCGGAGATTGGTCCCGTTTTCACGACCCTGGCAAGCTGAGCTTCCTGGACCAAAACAAGTCCCTCTTTAACGTGCTGCTCGCTCCACTGGACTCTGCATCTTCCTCTGCAACGTTCAGTTCCTGTCGTACGACAAGTCCCACGCTTTCCCTTTGACGAGGAAGTCTTGGTCGCTGCAGCAGTTTGCAAATTTTTATGCTGTGGTCGTGGAGAAGTTTTACGTGACGACGACATTGTCGGTGCTTGGTGACTCGACTGATAAATCATCTTTAACAACTTCTTCAAACTCTACTTTCCCTCTTAAATTTAAATCTCTATTTCCATATCTTTTCTCTATTATCAATTTTCAGTCTTGCAATTTTTCTTTCTTTTTTTTCCTTCCTTCTTCTTTATTGATTCTGATTTTTAGATTGACAATTTTTATCTTCTTGAGAGGCAAAAAGGAATTTTTATATTTATTTTTTTTTGTTGCACTTTTTGTACTTTTTTTCGATGCAAAAAAATATGTTTTTTTAAGCTTTTTTCTTGAAAAATGAAAGAGCTTGAAATCCTTGAAATTTCACTTCTCGATTTTCTTCTTTAACTTTCGAATTTTAATTTATACTTTCGAATATTAATATTCTACACTTGAAGTGATAGATCTTTAATATTCTCGATGCACATCTGTATATTGATCATCTCGGAGGCATTAATTTGATGGGTATACTTTTGCTCCTCAAAGAGATAGCCAGGGAGCGTAAGTCGAAATCGATCGTTACCACCTCGTCGTCACGCTTATGTCACTTGTGTGTCTCGGTGTCTCTTGAATTTACGATGATAATCGTTATATTCGTATAGACGTGAGATCCTCGATCATTTTACATACACTAATGAGCACTGGGATTTTTTTTTTTTTACTTTTTCGACACTGTTCGATTTTTATTATTCCCTATGACTTATAATCTCGTTATCGTGAATCGTTGTTATTTCAAAATTAACAATTTATTGTTGTTAATAAAAAATAAACTCCGTGTAACGGGGAAAAAAGGAAAATATTTTTTTTTTCTTTTGACTAAATCAACAACGGTTTTTGGCAATATTTCGTTTTGCACGTGTTTGACACTTTACATCACTCGCGAATTATATCCAAAGATTTTTGATTGTCACTATTTTCGGTTCCTTGTGAGATTTCTGAAAAAAAGAAATTTCGGTTTTAGTTACAATTTATTAATAAATAAAATAATAAATTATAAATAATATTAATAAAGAAATAAATAAGTAAATAAATAAATAATATTAATAAAGAAATAAATAAGTAAATAAATAATAAATTGATAAATAATATTATTAAACAAATAAGTAAATAAATAATAAATAAATAAATAATATTATTAAACAAACAAGCAAATAAATGATAAATTAATAAATAATATTAATAAACAAATAAGTAAATAAATAATAAATTAATAAATAATATTAATAAATAAATAAATTAATTAATTGATTAATTATTTTTAATTGTTGAATTTTTCATAAACAAAGAAATTATTTTTTTTAACGAAAAGTAGTTTTTGAAGAGAATAATTAATAAAAAATTTGTTATTAGAGAGAAAATAATTTTTTACAAATAATTTTGTATCTAAAATTAAATTTAATTATTCTATAATTATAATTTTTGGAAAAATTAATTTTTGCATAGGTATTTATTATTTTTAATGGAAAAGTAAATTTAAATTCAGGTGCATTTAATCAGCGTTGTAATTTTTTTTGCTTTCATTGTTTTCATTCATTCTAAAAATTTTTGTTGCGGTTTTAGCTTCAAATTTTTGCAAAAATTGTTTGAAAATTAAAAAAAAATTTTATGAAATTTAGAATTTTAAAATTAAAATCGGAAATAATTTTTTTATATGAAATTAAATTAAATTATTTTTTAAATAATAATTTTAATTTTCAAAGAAATTAATTTCTGCATAATTATTATTTTTAATAGAAAAGTAAAGTTAAATTTTGGTCCATTTAGTTAGCGTCGTTATTTTTATTCTTTACTTTCACTGTTTTCATTCATTGTAGAATTTTTTGTTTGCACTGTTTTAGCTTTAAATTTTTGAATAAATTGTTTAAAAATAAAAAAAAAATTTGTAATTAAATTTAGAGTTGAAAATTAGATTTAGAATTTTTAAAATAAAGTAGGAAATTAAAAGTATAAGAACTTTTGACAGAAAGAAAATTTTTTTTGACGACTAGCGTCGACGCTAATTTAACAGAATCTTAAATTTTTATTTTATTTAAATACTTGATAAATAATGGTTAAAAATTAAATTTAGAATTAAAAATAAAAATTCTAAATTAAAAATTAAAAAACTTTGATAATTATAGACGTTTAAAATTAAATTTTAATTAAATCGTTGAAAAAATTGTCACAGAAAAAAGATTTTTTACGCTTAGCGTCGATGCTATTTTTAGAGACTCTTTAATTATATTTAAATACTCTATAAAATAGTTAAAAAATAAATTTAGAATTAAAAATAAAAAGTAAAAATTAAAAAACGTTAAAAATTAAATTTTTATTAAATCGTTTAAAAATTTATTTGACACTTAGCGTCGACGCTAACTTCAGAGACTCTTAAATTTTAATTATTTTATTTAAATACTCGATAATAGTTCGTAAAAAACTAAATTCAGAATTAAAAATAAAAATTAAAAAACGTTTTGAGTTAAACGTTTAAAATTAAATTTTAATTAAATCGTTTAAAAAATTTTTACAGGAAAAAAATTTGTTTGACGCTTAGCGTCGACGCTAATTTTAGAGAATTTTAAATTTAAATTTTATTTAAATATTCGATAATAGTTAAAAATTAAATTTAGAACTAAAAATAAAAATTTTGAATTTAAAAAAGGTTAGAATTAAACGTTTAGAATAAAATAAAATTAAATCAAATAAAGAAATTTATCAGAAAAATTTTTTTTGACACTTAGCGTCGACGCTATCTTTAGAGACTCTTAAATTTAAATTTTACTTAAATACTCGATAATAGTAAATAATATTTATATAATATTAATATAATACTATTATTAATAATAATTATTAATAAATTACGCTTAAAAAAATCCGAAAAAATGCAAACGAAATACTTTTTCGAAAATCATTATTATTCACTGAGATAAAAATAAAAAAAGTAAATGAATAGAAGTTTGGAAATTTACTTTTTTCTAACGAGACGCAAAATTATTATAAAATTAATTAAATAAATTAAATAAATTTAATAATTAATATTAATTAAATAAAATTTTTAGAAAAGAAATTATTTTTTTTATTGTTTAAATAATTTCATTAATTAAAAATACAGAGACTTAGGAATATTTTGGACTTACATTTTTATTTATTATAACTTTTTTGTTGTTGAAGAAATGTCCCACAAAAATTAAATATTAAATCGAGGGGGAAAAATTCCCTTGGCGAATTTTATTTTTTGTTTTCGGATAAAAAGAAATAAAAAAGACAGAGAGAAGGCGACTTAGATTTTGCGAAAATTCTATATTGAGATAACAATGGGATGAGCCGCGTAGCGTGGCGGATTAATGAGGTTCTCTCCTCACATCCTGGCTAACGATCACGATCGCACGATCACGGAAGATCACTCGCCTCGGAATCACGTTTCACGGTCCAGCGCGAGTCTGAAACTGACTTTCATCCAACGAGTACTTTGAGTTTGGTATACTCCGGTATTGCGCCGATCAAACGCTCTTTCATCTTTGTTCCTCTCACTTAAATGACAAATATACGTCTCTCATGTCTTCTGGAATATATATCTTTTATTTCATTCTGTTTTTTTTCGCCTCCTTCTCTTTCTTGTATGTATACACATATATATGTTGGTGCGTTTTAAACACGTCTTGCCTCCCTCTCCTTTCGAAAAAAAAGAAAAAGAAAAAAAAACTTCATCTCCCACTCTTTTCATCTTCTTTCTGGACCAAGGAGTATAGCAAGATTGGACTTTCTGACGTAGGAGGAATACCGCGTCAGGGCCGAACAAAGCACTGAGTTTTATCACTTCTTTTGTCTAATGATAGAATATATATGTATATATTTTCTATCAGTGACAAGTTTCTTAATGAATGATGCTGATTTCGATTCAAAATATAGAAATTAAAATTTTTTTTTCTTTTAAAATTTTGATAGTATTCGAAAAAAATTTATTTGATTCAAATAAATTTGAAAGTATAATTACTTTACTATTATTAATTAAATATTTACTTGAATCAAATAAATTTTTTTTCAGATCAATTATAAATAGCATTTGCTTCAAATACAGAATTTATTCGTTCAAATACAATTTATTTGATGTAAATAAAAATTATTTGATTCAAGTTAATATTTATTTAATAATAATTAACAATTAATAATTCGATAATCGGTTATATTTGAATCAATTGAATTCAGGGTTGTCACGCTTTTGCTCATTTCAAATTCCCTGACTTTTCCAGATTTTCCAGGTTAATAAACGAAATTTTTCCAAGTTTTTTAAACTACATTTATATTTTACAAAATTAAATAATTCCAATAAATTTTTACAAATACATGGAACTTTCATATATTCTGTGTTCCGCATTGTTATTTTTATTTTTTTTAAATAAATATTTAATTATTATTTTTCCATAGGAATTAAAATTTTTCAAAAGATTTAAATTCAAACCTTTTTTAAATTAAACAATCTATAAAAAATTGTTATAAAACATGAAGAAATCGATCACTCCGAGTCTTCGACTCGGAGCAATCGATATCTTCATGTTTTATAAATAATTAAAAATGACAGATTGATAAAATCATTTTTTATTATAAGAATATTGTTACTGTAACTTATTCAAAATTACTTTCATAATTTCAATACAATTATTGTTTTCCAGAATTTTTAAATAAATATCTTCTTTAAATTAATTATTTTTAATAATTTTTGAATCTTTGGAAATTTCTAAATCCCTTTGATTACAATTCAATTTTACCTAAAATTTTGATAATTCGGAAATTTTTCAATCAAATATTTTATTGGAAAATAAAAACTTCAAATAACTTAAAAAAAATTCATTAAACTTTTTCAAAAAATTAAATCTATACAATGTTCATAGTTAAAAGTATGAAAAATTTAAACATTCAAAGATTATAATTTTAAACCTTTTTAAAATTTATTTATTTCCAAAAATTCACGCTATAATACTTTCTCTATAAATTTGAATTAGTAAAAAATTAAAAATGTTTATTGATTGGAATTTGTGACTGATTTTTTACTAATTCAAATTTAGAGAGTTTAATATTCAATTATTATCTAAAACTTTAATTGAAATTCATATTTGAATCAATTATTATTAGAAAATTCTACTAGAATTCAATTATTTAAAATACAAAAATAAATCATTTATGGAAGAATTAAATGTTTTTTAAAATTGAACTCTCATTTAAAGAATTATATCAACAAATTTTTATATCGGTAATTAAAATTCTTTTGACGAATTTCAATAAAATTTTTAAGAATAATTTTATTTTTCGAGAAATTATATTAAAAATATTTTTATATATAATATATAAATCATATATAAATATAATATTATTTATATATAGTATATTTAAATAATTGAATCTCTGTAAAAAATTTTTATTTAATTGAGAAAAATTTGGAGAAAAATTTTATTATTTCTAAAGATAATTGAAATTTTGATGAGATTTTTTTTAAAGAATTTGATTATAATTTTTGAGAATAATTTTTTTGATTTCTAGTATTAGTGAATTTAAAGTAGTGAAAATTCTCAAAAAAAAAAAACAGAAATAGTAGCTTTTAGTGTGTGAAATCTGAAAAAGTACCCAAATAGTAGCGTAACTTAAAAATAGTAATAAATGCGGTAGTAAATAGTAGATTTTAGTAGATGAGTACGAAGCCTGTACTGTAAACAGTTTTGATCGGTAATTATTTAAGATTATTAACGTACAAATTAATATGAATGATGACCTATCGAAAAGGATAAACGTCCCTTGATAATTGCATCAGTTGGTATAAACCCGCAAAAGGTAACTGTGCGATATCAAAGAAAGGCGAAAGTTTCCCGCCTAACGAGAGCACGTGAATGTTTCTTCGTTACATTTGTTACGCGTCATCAAGGGCATAATTGCCTCTCTTCTGCTGCTGTTGCTGCTGCTGCTTGATCAATCCATGTATAAGAATTACAATTTATTACCGTTATTACCGTCGATGTTAATTCATAATTAGTCGTTCATTACTTATCGTTGCTACAAGTGTGTATTTTCGTCGTTCTTTTTTTTCTCTTTTTTTCTTGAAATATACAACACATATTATATGTATATGAGGACTCTCTTGATATTTTATAAAGTTGTGTGTGCAATTCCTATTAATTTTTATTAAACGGGACCAAAGTCGCAGTAAAATGTGATTAACGTTTTCCTGCATCGTCATTATGAAGCAAAACAGTTCACAGAAATTTCATTTCGCTGCATCTCTCTGATCTTTTATAAAGAAATTTTTATCAAGGACGAAGGATTAATTAACAGTACTTAATATCCCAAAGAAAAGTGGATGAAAAAAATTTTCTTTTTAAACAAACATTTATTACGCAATATTATTGATATTGCGTAACATCTTTTTTTTTTCTCTTTTTTGACAATTTTATTAGCGCAGAAATTAATTTTTTTTTTGTTCGGAATTTTCATTTTAAGAAGTATAAATGAAATTTTTTTAAATCATCGGAATTATTTTGTGAAAAAATGTTGTAGTAAATTTAAATTCTATCGAGATTTAAATTTCTCCAAATGTAACATTAACTTCTACTTTATTTTTGTCTTTAACTTTGATTTTGACTTTAACTTTAATTTCGACTTCAACTTTGACTTTCGGAGTCAAATTGAAAGTCAAACTGAAATACGATTTCGTTTTCAATTTTTTCTTTTTCACTTATTTTTCCAAAGGTATAATTTTTCTTTTTATTTTCATTTTTTTTTTGGTAAATTATTATATTAAGGACAGAATCAAAATTCGGCTCGCAAAAGTACCAGCATCAGCAGCAGTAACATTGCGATCAATTTAAGAATGTGAAATGGAAGAGATAGCGAAAAAAGTGCACGTCATTGCTTCGTTAAAAAGTCATGTTAAAAGTCTCACGGCACAATAAGCGTATTTTATAGTGTCGTCACGTATCAGAAAAAGATTCACATGCTGCTCGAATATAAATAAACAAGTGTCGATGGAACAGGTGATACAGTCAATGACTATTGAAAAAAAGAACAAAACAGAAAAAAAGAGAAAAAGAGTTGAAAAGGAATCTGGGTAGATTACTATATAATCAAGAAGTGCTCAATTACGTATATTTTGTTCATTATTATATCTTGTAATTTTGATTGAAAACAAATTCTTATACTTTAAAAGTGCAAGGAAAATAAAAAAAATAATATAATATGTATGTTCATTTTAATTTTTTCACTATAAAAAGAAAGGAACTAATTTAGTACTAATTTTTGTACCAAACTGTAATTTGGTTTCATTTTAATAACGAAATCAGCTCTAATTTAGATCTTTTTTTTTACAGTGGCTAATTATTACTCTAAAATGACAAATTTTTAAACATTAAATGCCATTTTCTTTACTTACACAAATTATATATTAATTGAACATCGAATTTATAACATTTTAATAAAAATTGCTTCTTTCAAGTACCCAAAAATTTATTTAATAAAAGTCAAGAAATTAAATATTTGAATAAAATAAATTTGTATTTATTATTTATTCTAATAATATTCTACAATAATAATTATATATTAATATTACAGTGTCTTAAGGGGAGATAGAGAGATTCAATTATTTTCATAAATAATAAAACTCATCGCAGAATTTCAATTATTTTTAATACAAATTTTAATAAAATTTCTCGAAAAATGTAATTATTCTTAAAATTTTTATTAAAATTCATCAAAGAAATTCAATTATTCTAAAAAGCCTTCTTATAATTTATTTATTAGAATTGAAGTATTATTCTCAATACATTTTTAATTCAATTTCATGATAGAATTAAATTATTTAAAAAAATTTTAATGAAATTCTTTTTAACAATTCAATTTTCTTTTCAAAATAGTTTTACTTTTAATAAAATTCTTCGTTGAAATTTAATTAATTTCCATAATTGATCAAAATTCAATTATTTTCAATATCCTACTATTTCAATAAAATTTCACAAAAGAATTCAATTATTTAAAAACGAAATTTGAATAAAATTCGTCTTATGAATTCAATTATTTACAAGAGTAATAAAATTCTTCGAAAAAATTCAATTCTGGTCAAAAGTTTTAAAAAATTTTCCTCAAAATTTCAATTATCTTTATAAATAATAAAAGTTTTCTCCAAAATTCAATTATTTTCAAAAATTTTAATAAAATTCTTGACAAAATTTCAATTATTTTCAAAAACTATTCTCAAATCAATCAAATTTTTTACAGATCAATTATTTTTTAATACAATTTAATGGAATTCCTCGGAAAATGTAATTTCTCTTAAAAATTTTATCAAAATTCATCAAAGAATTTTAATTATTTTAAAAAGCCTTCCTATAATTTATTTATTAGAATTTAAGTATTATTTTCAATTCGTTTTTAATTAAATTTCTTGAAAGAATTAAATTATGTTCAAAAATTTTAATAAAATTCTTCGT